TTTGTGTCTATTACTGTTGTTGCTCTATATTCTAGAAAGACCAGAAAGATGTTAGTGGTTGGGGGGGGGGGAGGGGAGAGTTTTACATTTTACAGAGGTTTGCTTGTCTGGAGGCAAACCAGCCCCAATACAAAACTTCACAGCTTGCTTTACTGAGGCAAATTTCATCTCTGTTTACATGGGATTATATCCTGTGCCCAGACCTTCATTTTTCTCACATCTGGCGGGCAAAGAAAAATGAAGCCCTGATACACATGTTATTAAATGTTTGTGTCCTACAGTCCTACAACTGCCTTTATGGTTCATGGTTGTAACTCCGATTGGCTATTTCTAGCATGAGTATTCATGCCATATTTAATGTATTGTTTTGATAATTGGTTAATGCTATAATTAAATAATTGTTATTATGATATATTTAGTGATTGTAACTATATTTAGCTTGTTATTATGTGAAATTGACATTTCTTCTGGCACATTTTGATTGGATACCAAAAATAAAACTATAGTGTGGGTGGAAAGTAACTCTGAATGGATCAAGACTTGCATCAGTCTCTGTATGTAATTACAGAGCATAATTGCAGGTTAATGAGATTTCTAATAGTAATGCAACATTGGTTAGAAGACTAAGGGGGAGTTTACATGAAAGGTAATTGTTTCAAGTTGCAACTTCCAGTGGTATCTCCTATTTCATTTCATTTTCATTTTATATGGACATGAGCTGGCATGCCTTGTGACAGGGGTCTTACTTTGCATTGCCTGAATTATTGGGCAATTACTGTACACTAGCTGGATATTTTGCAAACAAAGATGATAACCTGGGATTGCTCGCCTACCATAGTTGAGTGTTTATATGCTTTGTCTGTGCAAATATAATTTGATATAAGCTGTATATGTCATATGACATTCTCCTGACAGATTTTAATCTTAGAATCAATGATAAAATGATGGACGGTATAAATACTGTATATACTGTAACTGGTGTATACAGGTTATAATTATGAAATTTGCTCACAAAAGTGGGATAGTTTGGAAAATATATTTAATTAAATTATATATTTGTAATGCTAATTATCCCAGTATTATGTAGCCAGCATGCCACCCTGAGGATTACGATTACCATTGATAAGTGTATGGATATATTTGACAAGATGTGCATTTATATAATAACATAGGGAAAATTAAATATTCATCAATACTACTGTGCAGCCTTTCTTAAAGGTACTGTATTAATATTAGTTGAAAGTCAGGCAAAAGGGGACAGATAGAAGACATATGATTAAATTATGTCATGTTTATCATTGTACAGTTTGGTATTGGTTTATTTAACAAACAATTTCCAACTAAGATAGCTTCATTAAGTTAATTTACAGTTTACACACAGTCTCTATTGATTTAAAACATGTGGTTGTGTGTGTACCTAGTTATATATTTAAATATTTTTAAACCCAGTGTTTGTTGTGTGCTAGTTTACTGGTTTCCTCGCCACAAGGCAATATTCTCAGTATTCAGAGTGTGGGCTGTTCACCATGCAGTTCATATCAAAGGCAGCCAGGGGCAAGTGAAATTGACCAACTGATGCCAACCACACTGTCCATGAGAGTAAGATTAGTAGCATAAGACAGAGTTGCATATATTTACACAGTAAAGCACAACAGTGGTGGATTTAGAGGGGGGGTGTGCACATCCCCCCCAGGTTCTGGTCAACAGGTGTGCATGGGGGGGGTGCAAAAATGACGTTTATCCTAATTCTAACCAACTTATGTTAAGGAATTCAGTTGCGTTTCACTAGTTGACAATAGCGGAATAGCCAATATTAAATGTTCTGAATTTTTAAATGTTTTGAGAATCTAAAAATTTTCCAGAATGTTTTCTCAGAATGCTGGAAATGCCATTTCAGAGACCCCCAAATTTTAAAAATTTTCCGGGGGAGTATGCCCCTGGACCACCCTAGAAATCTTGCGCCTTTGGCGCTCGTTTCGCCATTGGTTAGCACCCCCCCAAAAAAAACTTTGCTGGATCCACCACTGAAGCACAAAATACCTTTATGCACCATATTTTATTTTACTTTAAATTCTAATGCTAGAAGATTTTACTCATGGAACATTGGAAATTAATGGGGGAAGGTGGTTCATAAACAACATAATAACACTGTCTTCTGAGTCCAGCAATGCAACTAGTGGAGCACACTGTATACACCTTTGTTACACAGTATGTGTGTATTTGCGTTGTCGTGATTTTCTGCCGAAATGTTTTTCAATAGAAAAGTTAAGGCTACAAGAAGCACAGTACTGACTATTTTTTAATAGAGACTTATTGCCACTGCTGCTATTACACTTGTACAAGCAAATGTTTTTTTCTTATATGGAGAAATTATGTTGTTTTTGCGATATAGGTTCAAGTTTTTTACTTGTTTTTCCAAAAATGCAGCAAAATTTTTGTGACTCTGATATATGAATTGGAACAAAAGAGTCCGCTCAGAACGCAGGAAATCGCATTTCCGAGGTACTAGATTTCAAAATTTCCAGGGGGAGGATACCCCCGGACCCCCCTACAAATGCGAGATCTTATGTATGCATCAGTCAGCTCAGGAGCTGGATCCGCCCCTGGTCAGGCCCGTAGCTGAGGGGGGGCCTGGGGGGGCAATGCCCCCTCACTCGGTGGGGCAGTGCCCCCCAGTGCCCCCCCCCCACTCCGAATTGTAATCAAGATATCGAATCGAATTGAGGCTACGTGCACACGGGCGTCGTTTTCGAGCGTTTTCAAAAACGTTTTTGTCCCTTTAATCGCTTTGATGCCCTGTTCACGTGGTTCAAGGGAAAATATCTCCAGTATATTAAATAAACTACAGCTTCAGTCGTAAATTAATAGTTTTCGCATCCGTTTTAGCGTGAAAACGCAAATGAAAACGCTCGAAAACGTTACCGTGTGCACGTAGTCTGAGATAAAGGACGTGGAAACGAATTGTAATCATGGGACAAATTCTGTAAATTTTGTGGTTAATTTTGTGATTTTTGAAAAATTTTGTTAGGTTTCGGAAAAATTTTGTATGTCCGGAAAAAATTGGTATGTCCAGAAAAATTTTTTGACCCTTAAAATGGTACACTGACCGAAATTTTTTTGGCGACGGGGGTGGGTGGGTGGGGGGGGGGGG